GATTTTCTTCTATAATTGGCAAAGATACCTTTCCCAAATTATAAATATAGTAACATATATATGTATATAGTTATCAGGATTTCTGAGTTTTATCACAGTTTGCCATATAACTGAGCTCAAACATAAGTAATGTCACTGCCCTACATAGTTATATAACATACATATATATAACATACGTGAATGACATTTTGGCAAATTCTGTACACACAAAGATTATTTAACCTACAAAACATGAATTATGGACATTTCTGTAATTGGTCAATTTCATTATATGTACAAACTCATTTTACCACTATAATATCTCTCTACATATTGGGTTTTAATTAGTTCAGAAGAAAATTAAAAATGTTGCAAATATTATGACCCTACAGCTGTAGGTAGCAGTACGGTGTGGGATCCCAAACAGTAAATCCAGTGTCAATAAAACACACACATGTACAAACCATTAATGCTTTTCTGACCTCTGAAGGATTTGTTGCAGTAAGTCAGACCACAGGATCCAGCAATAGACGAATATGAAAGGTTTGGTATTGGAGACTCAGCAAGGGTTTCTAACCTGGGTTCAATGTTCCCCTGCTGTACATGCGTAAGAGAAAAATGAAGAACTTAATGATGAATAAATCACAAACAACCATCTAACTTACAAACCAACCATTTCAGTAGCAGGAAGAGTGATTTCTGCATGAATTTCTCTTGCTAACCTCATCCATTTTACTCCATTTTGGACTTATCTCTGTTGTTTCCGTGGGTTCTGTCAGGCCGATTTTTACTCTCCTGTCTTCTGTCAAGCCTTTCCTCAGACAGGACCTTTCATCCAGAGTGTCTCCTTCCTCCATCTGTCTGTCTTGAGGAGCCAGACTGATGGTCTTCTGAGCCTCTTTCAGGTCTGTCAGAGTCACACCCTGCAGGACATACAACCTAATATCCGTCAAGAGTCAAACAAAATCCCATAAAACCTAAACTTCTGTAAATCATTTGTTCTCTACAATACCTGTGTTGACCTGCGGGTCTGTCTGGCATGACGAGACTTTGCTTTCCTCTGAGACTCCGCTTCTTCATCCCTCACCGGGGTCAAATACAACCTGAGTCAGTGGAAAAAACAGTAAGATTTTAAGTAATAAGGCTTCAACAGGGAACCATGACAGAAATGCACACAGAGGGTAAATACAGCAGAGAAAAACATATATATTATATATTATAATGTTATCAATCTTAATAGAATGGGGAGATTATAGGTAACAAAATATATTAATTAGATGCAAATAATATAGGTTAATACTATATATTGTGTAAATGATTATTTATGTTGCTAAAAGGTGTCAGTGTTAAACCTTAACAGTCAGACTCACTTTTCAACATTTTGTGTTTTGACTTTTAGACATACAGAAATAACTTTAATGTTACTTGTTACTGTACAATTATGTATTAATATGATCTCTATCTTTTTTGTTACATATAACAACAAATACAAAACTGCTGTCATTATATTTTCAAAGGGGAACTTCAATACATTTTAAAAAGCATAAAAAGGTTTGGGCTGAGTGATACAAGATACATTTTCGGTGTGGACATGGCTGCAGCAACCTGTTAAGGGGGCCCTGGGCAAACATTTGTTGTTGGGACTCAAATGACCCCAAATTCTCAAATACTACAACTACTCCAGTTCTGCAATAATAACACCTGGCTCTAGGTGTTTTACACAACATTATTTAGAAATATGCACCATGGAAGCACAATCTAAACTGAAATAATAATAATAAATGGTCTTGAAACTAAATTTTTTACATAGTGCCCTACTACAAGACAAGGCCACTAAGTAATAATGGTGGGCCCATTTTAATTTATACTGTAATTATATATATCCCTATCTGCCAGTCTCCCACTGTGCCTATTTGCTAATCCAGTCTTGGTGGATATTAGCACATTAATAAAAGGATTTAATGAAATGTAAAAGACTTGGAACAGACTTATGTTTGCTAAATGTATATAATAAAAAAATGCACATGTTTCTAATAATAAATGCAAGAAATGTACATTTCTCAATCTTCCTGCTATGTGGCTTCATGCTGCCTCAGCAACATCCCACTGATTTACACTTACTTACACTGATTTTACACTTACACATAATTTTCCCCCATACACCACCCAACATCTAATTTTAACAGGAAATACATCATATTAAGGAAGAAAGATGCTCTGAAAATGCATTTAAGAAGTGAGCACAATTTCTCCCAGTGGCCTAACAGATACACAGAAAGAGCTGAGCAAGCATCAGTGGAGAGGCTCATGTTTTACCCAGAGAGCTGCCTGCCTGCCCCTCCTCTGCTTAGCTTTTACTGGTATTGATCTCTCAGTTGTGAAGTCACCCTGAAGCCTGACTGAGAGTTATCGGGCTGGTCAGCAGCACTCTCTACTGTATAATGTATAAAACATAAGATATGGACTCCATGACCACGCACAGTTCTATAGGTTGATACCAACAATGACACAGTAAAAGGATAAACCACAAAACAACACAGCACCATCACAATTGCTGATGCTTACAAATGTATTATTTATCTGTATAACAATTATAAACAGGAGTTAAGTTATCCACCCACTCTGTAATCTGTAACGCATACACAGCAAAATTGTCCTCCTTTAAGCCACATAAATAATTAATAAGCTAAAAATAGTTGCTAAGAATAATATCCTTAAGCCAATAATTACTAATGTACATAAAAAAGGCAAACAAGTAGATCAAAGAGAGGAATTCCTTATCAGTCCCCAAAGCAACAAACTACAGGCTCACATTACATCAGTTCAAAGAGGCCTATACAACACCTGTACAGAGCATAGTTGCTCTACATCAAGATGACAATCATGAGGGCTAGGAGCTTTGCCAAAACCGTGGCTTGTCAGGCTAAATAAATTCTGAAACCCGGAATAAAACAGCATGACTCAGTCTTTCCTGAAACGTACCTGGGAACAATTGCTTGCATGGTCCCTGTGGAAGGTCAGAGACTGAGGCACTGAGACACTGCAGTAGTGATGAGTGGGAGAGGCTGGACAAAATGACTCTGTAACTGGCTAGAGTGCAGAAAGGGGGGGGGGGGGG